AAATATTGATTTTTGAGGTTGGAAGCATCTCAACATTTTTCATTATTGCACCACATCCCTTCATTTCGCAACCAAATCGATCCATTAGCACGACCATCTGGCATGGCATGAAACAGGGAGGGAACCATTTCCAATTTGCCTTTGTTTCCCAGAGCATTTGGCAGCTCAAGTTGGCTCTTGTGTGCCACATAATGCTCATGCTCCTCAGGGAAACAGGTCAGTGGGATACAGACATTCATAAAGGGCTGTCCTGGGTTGCAGGGGAGTCTGGAAACTCAGAACTGAGCTCATCCACAAGAGCCTTTTGCCCAAGGCTCAGGTAAACACAATTCTGCACAAATTACTTCATGTAATAGATGTTTCTGTATAGCTGTATGTTCACAGATTTAGAATTTCAGGATGGTTTGGGTTGGAAGAGACCTTAAAGTTCATCCAGTTCCATTCCCTACCATGGGCAGGGACATCTTCCACTATTCCAGGGTGCCCAAGGTCTTTTCCAACCTGGCCTGGGACACTTCCAGGGAGTCCACAACCTCCCTGGGACTCCAATTTTCTTCACAGTGAAGAATTTCTTTTAATAACCAACCTAAATTTTCCCTCTTCCAGTTTGTACCCATTATATATATTTATATGAGTGTATATGTATGTATATTAAACCATCTCAGCTTAATGCATGGGAGCTGTCACATTCCTCACGTGTCACAACAAATGACTGGAAAATTGGCTGCCTGAAATGCAGGAATTCCACTGGAATGTGTGCTGTACACAAACAGCTCCAGGATTCTGCAGCCAGGAGTGCCCTGGGCCCCTCACCACAATTGCAGTTTTCCAGGGGTACTTTGCATTTCCTGCAGGGAAAGACTGAGCTTGGCTTTTCTGCAGGTCAGGAAGACCCTGCAGGTCTTGCCCTTCTCTCTGACACCAGTGGATAATGGATCCCACACAGGCTGGGAATTAATTCCATAATCTCCTTTTCACAGAACTGATCACTTTGTTCTGCTGAGCACCCAGCAGTAGCATTTGTTCATTAATTAAGGCTGCTGCCTTTTCCAAAGTGCCATCTAGGACTATTTTTTTATTCTCTTGGTACAAGACTGTGGATAAAACTCCCTGGGAGATTTAACCTCTCATTAAAGCTCACCTTTGTATAGTGTATACTTACCCTCATAACTGCACCAAAGGCAGCTCTCTGATCCTGTGGCAGCTTTTCCAGGCTCTGGGATGGGCATTCCCTGCAGCTCCCAGGGCACCAGGAGCGTGTTCCAGATATTTTTGGGGTGCTGGGATCTCGTACGTGGCTGACAGATTGAGCATTTGTGATGGAAAAACTGTCCTGATAGTTCTGCCACATCTGAAATTTGGGTGGAGCATTAATTTGTGCAGTGGAAATGCAGATGTGGAGCTGAGGAAACACAGCTGGCAGCAGAGGGGAGGTGGGAAAGGCCAGGAGCTTGTGCATGCAAGGGATGGGGATTAAAACAGTGAGAGATCACCCCAGGCCAAAACTCTGCTGCAAAATAGTTTTTTTGAACTGACAAAACCATTTTCTGTGTGGTTGAAAACTACAGAAGATCCAGTTTTATACTGGTGAGCATGATCAGAAGGTTCAGCAGAACTCTGGACCAGGACTCTGGGCCCCTGAATTTGGGCCCAGTCTGGAGGTTTCCTCTAAAAAAATCCTTGTCCAAATCCCTGTGCTGGGTTCTCTCTGCACCTCTCACTGCAATAGATCTCACTTCCTTAAAATGGTTTGAGAACAAAACATGCATTAAAGTCCAATGATTGTGTTTCAAGGAATGGTAAGTTATTGATGAGAATGCCTGTGGATTTTCTGGGGTGTGTTTCAGCACACAGGAACAAGTAAAGCTGTTCTTCTCATCATCTGACTGTAACACAGCTGATGGACACCTAGAATATGCTGAACTTCTAAGGAAAAAAAACCCAACTTTACCAGCAGATGCAGCAAAATTATTTGGGCTTTTATTCTCTTTAGTTGTGATGATAATGAAGAGTTCTGCATTTGAACCAGCAGGAAGGGAACTCTGGGGGCTGCTGCTAGGTCAGATGTACCAAATGCAACTTTCTACCGTGGTGTGGATGCAGAGCTTTGTTTCCTCCCTGCCTCACCCTGCAGGTGCTGTGTGTGTCCATTTATCCCTGGTGCAGCAGAGCAGAGAGCAGCTCTGAGCTCTGTAAACACCGAATTTACGTGCTCAGACTCGCAAAGCTCAGGCAAGGTCGTTTGGAGCAGGGAGTGCCCCGAGGCTCCTTCCCTTGGAAACCGGAGCAGAGGTGGGTACGATGTGTCAGCCCCGAATTTGTGCTTCGGTGACAAACGGATTGACGGGCTGTGTTCCCAACCACAGCATTCCCTGACTGCTTTTCACGGAGCAGCCTCACCCAGGTGAGCTCTGGAGCCACGCAACGAATTCCACTGGGTTTGGTTTTTTTGCATTGTGATATTTTTTCGTGTGTTCATGAGCTCTTACCATCCTCCCGATTGACCTTTCAACTTGTGGTGGGCAGATTTCTCTCCTGGTGCCCCAGCTGGGGCTGAACCAGAGAAGATTTTCAAATATGTCTCGTGATGAAAAATTCATTGCAGCCTTTAAATTGATTGCTGCAATGACTAATTCACTCCATGAGCAAACACATTATTTCTGGTGAATTTTATGGTGGGTTTTTGTTTTGTGTTTCAGTGGGTTTCTGCCTCACTGGGTGTTTCCCTGTGTGTTCTCAGCCAAGGCACCAGGACTCTCCTGAGCTGTCTGTAGAGTGGATTTTCCTTCCAGCAGCAGAGTTTTCCCAGTGCTCTCCCCCTGCTCCCTGAACTGTCTCCAGTATTCTGAGGAGTCCCTGCCAGCTCTGGTCATGGGATGCCCACGGCTGCTCTGCTGCTGCCAAATCCCAAAGTGATGGAACATTTCCCTTCGAATTCCAACTTCCCCTCCCGTTAGTCCTAAACCAGAGCATCACGCTGGGATCACACTCTGAGCTGGAAAAATGAACAATTCCCCTGTGCTGCTCATGCTCTGCTCCAAGGCTGGGGCTGTGGCCCAGCTCCACCTGTTTTCAGGGCACTGAAACTCATTAAATTCTTGATTTAACATTCCCTGAATTCCAGGGATCCTATAGCAGTAAGAACCAGCTCAGCTCCCCCATGGTCTCCCTGGGTCTGGCACTCTGACCCTCAGCAGGCCCTGAGATGGGAATTTCACTGACAAAAATATTCCACTTCCCTGAAAATGCTGCCAGGGCTCCATCCCTTCCCCTGCCTCTCCCTACTTCCTCTTTTAAAATGAAATCCAAACACCTCATTAGGAAAACTGACACAAACCCTCATGCTTGTGAAAGATCAGTAACTACATTCCAGTTTATTGACTGCAGTCAAGTTTTATTATGCCTCAAATAATTAAATACTGCAACCATGACATTAAAAATACAGGCCAATTTACCAAAATAATTGTATTCTGAAGATTATGTACATATTATACATTTTACAGTCTCATGTAAACTTTTTTTTTATACATAAGGTAAATCTGATTTATGGTAACTAGAAAACCCAAAATACTCACTGACAAAAATCTTCCTATGAAACATAAGCACTGGATCTGGGACAATTAGGAAAATTGCAATGAATGGAAACCAACTATAAAACATAATATAATCAAGTTAGTAGAAAAATGAATTAAATTACATTCATATAAAAAATTAAACTAAAAACATTGCTATGCATCATTATTTAAAAAAAAAAAAAAAAAAAGGAAAAAAACCAACCCACTCCCTCTCCCTTTATATATTAACACAGCCTTTGATGGGGAGCTCCCCTGTGCCTCATTTCCAGCAATGGGGCATAGCCTGGGAAATCCAGATTCCCATTCTCCTTTAACATATATTAAATAACTAGTGTCTGTACCAATACAAATATTGTATAATTCATGCACTGGGATTATGTTCAGGGTAGCCCACACCAAGGCACCATTTTTGTGTCATTTCCCTCCCCCCCCTCAGGTTTCAGCATGCAGTGCTGGAGATGTTTCCTGGGCTAAACAACTTCTGTGGGCTTTGCCTCGAGTCTGAATCTCACCCCGGGGCACACAGAAATCCTTCCAGCAGATTTTTGTAAATAAATAAGGAAAAGAAGGCAAAGGCCTTAAGTTCAATATCTTGCACCAACAGTGTCAGCTCAGCCACCACACCCTCCAGAAAACATGGCACTGAGGCAACATCACTCTGCTTCTGGTCAAATATTTTATACATCAGCTAGGACAAGGAAATTGCTGCTGCTGTAAATCTTCATCCCTGTGACAGCTGTAGTGTTTTGATTTGGCATAATGGAGCTTTCCAAGTCTAAATTGGTTTTTAGCTCCCAGCTCCTCTCAGCACAGCCCCATTTACATCAGCAGCCAGGTAGTGAATGTAATTGAAGTACCTGGGAATGCTCATTAAAATAAATGCATAATTGAACCGTATCTAAACAGCTGCCAAAATTAACAGTTGGTAACTTGGCTGCATGCTGAAGGCTTGTAAAATTTGCATATTTTATAACTGTTCTGCACCTAGAAAAGGCCTGGTCCTGCAAAGGGCTCAGCCCGTGCCTGACTTTGTGAGGTTACATGGAATAAGCAGCCCTTGGTCAGAATAAATCCATGGAAGACAACGAGCTGGAGTGACTGAAGTCACCTGGATTTAGGCACTAGGAATACTCCTTCAGTGTTGAGTGCACCTGACATGACACCAAACATTCTGTCAGGCCTGGACAAGGTGAAAGTGTATCCAAAATGGCCTCTATAAACCGTGCCCAGAGTTAGAAAAAATTCAGCCTAGAGGATGTCTGGTTATGTACAGCCTGGATAGAAAAGAAATCCTAATCTAGAGTATCAAAATATTGTATTCATATAAACACAGGACAGCACCTAATAGAAAAGTAAAAAGTGGAAAACACAAGCCTTTTTTTTTTGAAATTAAATATCCTAAAAAAAGTTGTTTTTTTTTTAAAAAAAAAAACACACAACAGGAATTTGTGTAATGGAAAAAGAAAAATGAAGGGAGGAACTACATCTCCCCTCGTCTGCGAGTTTTTGCTGCAATAGCTCTGCCTTCCTCTTCCTCCTCCTCCTCTTCCTCCTCATAATTTTCTTCATGAATTTCTTTCTGGTTGTTGTCTTCTTGCATTTCTTGCTCTTGGTCTGTCCCTCTGTTATTCTTGTCATCTGCCTGATTGGGGAAAACAAAACAAACTTACAATAGATTCAGTGCCAGCTTCCTTACAGCTTATTTTAGGGCAATGAAATGATTTGCAGCTGGAGTTGTGAGAGTTGATGGGCAGAAACAGAAAAAAAAAAAAAAGATTTTTCCAAAGCCTCCAGGGAGCAAGAACTGACATAGAGATGGAAGGGTGAGCTAAAGGAAGTTGGGACAGCATGAAACGTTAATCTCTGTGATCCAAAGCAAGCTAGAACAATTATTATGTCCCATCCCTGTGCCATGAGCAGTTGTGATCAGGGTTTGATGCTGTTCCTGACCCCTGGGCTTGCACAGGACTCACATTTTCCTCGTTTTCCCCATAGGGCTCCTCAGCATTGTGCTCCAGCTCTCGCTTCTTCTCTTCAGTCAGATCTTCCTGCACCTGCAAAGCACAAGAGATGTTCTGTATGGTTTAATTGCCTTTCAAAGAGTGGCCTGTGGCACAGCTGGGCACATTCTCACAGTGGTATTTTTACAGAATGAAGATTCTAAAGAAGGGAGAAGAGAGCAGGGAGAGGTTAAAGGAGGATAAAAAGAACCATAACCACCCAACAATCAGGAAACTCACTTCCTCTGAGAGCAACTAACTTTCAAAGACAATTCTCACAGACAATCTCTTCCAATGCTCTCCTTGGAGAGAGGAGATCATGCTCAATCTGTGTCCCTAATGTTCAGCTTTTGGATCTCTCATTCCTTTCTGTTCTGTCAGCACTCTCCCTCCACTCCATGCCCCACTTCCCACGTTAGGTGCAAATCTGAAAGAGGAATGTTTTGAAGTAAACTTGATTTCCTTTTGGGAAGTGCTGCTGAGCTTGTCTGCTCCAAACAGTGTCCTGTGAGCTGGGTCAGAGGCACCCATCACACCAGGATCACTGTGGCAAAGAACTGAACAGCAATGGATAATATCTGAGTTCACATACTAAAAAAAACTGACACCCACTGCAGCATCTTCTTTTCTCTCTTAATTGCTCACTCAGTCCCTGCTCCCTCTTCCCTACTTCCAGGTCAGCACAGTGGGCACATCCTTTAGGAGATGTGTATAAATTGCTTCCTGTAAGCCAAGGAGCAGCTGCCAAAGGTCAGCTCTGCCCAATTCCCAGTGCTCTGCTTAGATGTGAGCAGCAGCATTTTGCACTGGTGAATGCTAAGTGCAACCCAGATAATCCAAAGTGCTCCCCATGAGGGAGTGACAGCAGCCAATTTCAGGGCTTCTTTTTGAAAGGGATTTTGTGGGAAGCAGAAATAGGAATTAATCAGGTACTACTGAGGGGCTGTGGGGTGGCTCGGGGTGGTGCCTGCACAATGAGCATGACATGAAGGAAAAAGTCCCTTCCCTGCCTCTCTCCTCCAGCTCCACGTGCTGTCAGCTTCCTGAGCAACTCCATGAACTGCAGCTTGGATTGCTCAGGAGGAGCACAGATAAATCAAAGTCAGAGCTAAAGAGTAAGTAAGTGGCCAAGGAAGCAGTTTGCTCAGAACTGCAGTGTGTGATTAGAGATTAATGAGGTTTTCTGTGACCTTGAGGTTTCCAGGAAATTTTCCTTGTGTTGTGAAAGGCTTAATCTTTTCAATTATTGCACAATTAATGCTGTGTGGCATGGAAGAGTAATGGATTGCAGCACAGGAGCATGAGTAACCCTGAGTGTATCCAGAAGGGGACAGCAGAGTAATGGCAAAGACTTCCCAGGTTTGCTAAAGTCAGACAAAGTGATTTGGGTTCATCCTGCAGTTCTAGAAGACACCAAGGTTAGGTGTTAATGCAGTTGTGCTCTGCTGCCTGAGCCTACACCTGCCTTGGGTCTGTGTTCTTACCTCCTCTTCTCCCTCCTCCTGGTATTGTTCATCCACATTATCCTCCTGCTGGTCAGGATTTCCTGCCATCTGCACAAAGATCACATAAAAATTCAGTTCTATGAGCTTGCCTAATAACCAGAGGGCTGAAGATTAAAGCTTCTTGTTCTGGAACTAAAGCTCTCTGTAAGGCTAAAGTAACAATAATGGCAGGAGAAGTTTTAGTGCATTCATTAGCAGTGGTGAGAGCCCAGCTCTGTGATTTAAAATTGCCCTCAATTAAAAAATAGCAGGATGAATATAAGAAAAATCACTTCACAGAATAAAGCAAGACTTTCCATACTAAGCAGGAAGACAATGGAATATTCACTCCATTGAAGACCAATGCCATAAAAATTCAGACTCTCTGCCTGGAGGAGTTTACAGCTCCAACACAGCTGAAATGTGTAGCTTTAACCTCCTGAAGGAGCCCTAGAGGTGCCTCTTTTGCCTTTACCCACCACCAAGTGCTCCTCCATTCCTGGATGTCCTTGTTTCTGACCCGTTTCCTTGTGCTTTTCATTTTCATCAGGCAGGTTTTCTTCTCTCTCTTGCTCAGCTTCTTCAAATTCATCTTCTCCCTGATTATTGGGGTCATCAGCAGGATTCACATCTTCCATGGCTGCCTTCTGTAATTTACAGGAATGAGTGTTAAATACTTCTAGCTCATGGTCCAGCTGCATTTCCCTTGAAAGAACAGCAGCAGGGGCTGTCAGAGGCAGCTCCATGTCCACTGGCACCAGCTGGAATCTCTGCAGGATCAGGGCTCACTGAGGTACCCCAGCATGAGCAGGGACAGAGGTGCAGGTACCTGTCTGCTGAAGCTCACACAAAATCTGAGCACTTCTGGGCCAGAGGCTACTGAACAAGCTGTGTTTACTGACTAGCTGCCAGTGCCTGATAAGGCCATGTGAGCAAAGATAAGAGTTTAATGCTCACAGCTCCACACAGAGCTGATGGCATCATTCAGTATCAGCCTGTCCTGCTCTGTTGACCTTGGCTATGTCTACAAGAAAACAGAACACTTTTCACCTTTGCCATGCAGAAAAGGAGCATTTTCTGCTTATCATTCAATAAAAGCAGTTTTATATCGTTATAGACAACAAATTAAAGATCCATTAGAAATATTCTCCATACATCTTAATTTGCTGAATGGGAGGCAAGGAAGGAAGATGCACTTGATGTTGACAGCAGCAGGTAAGCTGGAGTTTGGCAGAAGGCATGGGGGGATTGTCCTGCCCCAGATCTCTGTGCAGTCGGTATCAGGGCTCAGTTCAGTGCAGACTTACATCCTCTTTCAGGACCTCACACCTCTGCACTGACTCCAGCTGGTTACACTGGCTTTTGAGCTGGCCTTTAATTAATGACAGCATGAAAAATACCATCCCCTCTCATTTTGACTGGGCACTGCTGGTATTTTTTGAAGCCAAATGTACCTGTTCAAGTCCCAGCTAAAACCAAGTCCTTTATTCCACCAAAAGCACAGATCAAAGGAACGTGGAAATAAACACCTTGCTTCCAACAAGGAAGCTTTTTCCTTTTATTTCTTCCCAAATGAGCAAGGACACCTTTAAATGGATTTTAGACGTTGCTTTCAACTGCCAAGCCTGTCTCCCTAGCAGACCTCTGCTTCTCTCATTTCTAGAGGTGCAATTATGTCAGACAAGACCTGTGGGTTCTCACTTCAGTAACACTGCAACTCGCAGCATCTCAATTCATACTTACTGATTCATCAGCCTGCTGATTTTCTGCCTGATGTTCTGCTTCTTGCTGTTCATTTGCATTATTCTGATCATCATCTTCACCTTCATCCTGGTGCTGGTTGTCATGTTCATAAGCTGAGGAATTTTTGAGGGGATTATTGTTTTACAGCAGTTTTTAGTTATCCTTTTAAGAGTCTCCCACAGACAAGGTTCCACATGTGCTTTTAGCAGTGGGAAGCCTCTACATAAACAGATAATGGTCACATAATTGATTTACTCCTAATAGGAAATAGAAATTAAAAGACCAGGCCAGGCTGGATGGGGCTTGAACAACCTGGGCTAGTAGAAGCTGTCCCTGTCCATAGCAGGGGTGTGGAATGAGACGGGTGCCTTCCAACCCAAACAATTCCATGATTCTGTAATTTAAAGAGATCAAACAAACCCCTAGACAGAGCCAGGAACATAACCAAGCTCCTCAGAGCCTGGTAATAACAGCTCAATCAAAAGGACACTTCTCCTTTCAGGAATGTGGATATGATCTTCAGTAATCCCTCTATTTCAATCAGTCAGTTCAGCCATGGTTATTTGAGCTTCTGGTTTTAAATTGCAAGTTTATGTTTCACTTGAATCCAATCTGGATATGAAATGAATATTAAAGTCTCCCATGCAAGGCAGTACACAAGGAGCCTGTGAGCATGGCAGGGACAGAAATTCTCTCTTACCTCCTTCCTCTTCCTGAATACCTTGCTCTTCCTCCCCTTGTACAATGTCCTGGTCCATGTTATCATAATGAGCCTGTTGGCTGAGAACATTAAAAGCCAAGCATCATTTCAGTTTCAAAAGTGTGTTTTCTGCTTTAATAAACAAACCCCCCACATGCAGCTCTGCCTCTCTCAGCAGCTGCCAGAGCAGGCCCCAGTTTCATGCTCTATTATCTGATATTTTCTCACATCACCTTTCCTGAGAAAAGCTTGATAGAACAGAGACACTTGTGCTGCTACATTGACTTTGTGTTGTGTGTCTCTGTATGAGGAGTCTGCAGTCCTGAAGGACATGGGTCAGGCAAAGAGTAAAGTCAGGACTCTGAATTTCAGGGAACAAACCTCCAGCTCTTCAAGGAATTAGCCAACAGGACCCCCTGGAAATCTGCCCTCAGGGACAAGGGAGCAGAACAAAGCTGACAACACAAAACAGAGCACGACAAACTCATGAGGAAGAGCTGAACCTGAGGCGGTTTTTGTAGAGTTTCTCCCCTTGCTCTGCCTGTCTCTGCAGCTGGAGCTCTCTCTCCTGGAGCTGCTGCTGCCTCAGGAGCTGTCCTTGCAGCCTCTGCTGGTGCAGGGATTCCTGCTGCTGCTGGAGCTTCTTGGCCTCCTCTGCTCTCTGGGCTCCAAGGTGCTGCTGCTCCAGCTGCTGCTCGTAAGCTGCTTTCTGTCTCTCTGTTGGCATTACCTGTCACAGAAACGTGTTAGTCACACATTAATCATCGTCTCAGGGATCAGAAACAAGCAAGGAGAAACCTGCCCAGAGGGAAAAACAAGCTCCATGCAATTACAGCGAAGTTACTTTTAAGTTTTTGTGTCCCTGCTTGAAGTTAAAACATTTTTTGGACACGGACTGGAAGTGTTGGGGTGTTTGTGGAGTACACAGGGAAGAAAGAGGAGATTCTGGGCTAAGGAAAGCCAGGCTTTTCCTATAGATAATAATAAAACCTCCCAACATATTACACACCAAAAGGAGGTTTTGATGACTGGTAAGACAGCAAAAGTTTCCATTGATTTAAGTGATACTCTCAGGGGGAGTTGCTTTCAGCCTTAAGTGAGACACTGCACATCTTTTTATACTCAGCAATAACTTAGATTAACTCCAGTTTCACAGCTTAACCCATTGCTGCTGTTCTGACCCTCTGCACTCCTCTGCTCTTCTGCAACAGCTCCTCATTACACCAGAGTGACACAATTAATCTGCCAGGACAGAAAGTGTTTACAGAGCCTAAAGTGAGACCAGTGAAATATATTTCCACTGCAGATCCAATCGAAGATGCAAATCCAGGATTTGCTGGTTTTATTTAGAGCTGCACACTGATTTCTCCTGGCTATTTTAGTCATGTTTGTCTGGCAGTTAAAATTCCCTGTCAAACAACAGTGAGCACTGAGCTGGCAATGTGTTTGCAGAAGGCAGGTACCTCTGACAAGGAAACACTCTGCAATTTGCTGAGATGCATCAAGTTACCAAAGCAGAGCAGTTCTCCATCCCAGCCTCCCTCTCACCTGCTGAGTTCTTCATCAGCTACCACGGGCCTCAGGTTTGAAGTGGGAGACAGGATTCAGTCTGCTGCTCTTTTTTTTCTTTTCCATCTGCTGCTTTTTATCAGCAGAATTAATGTTCATTAAGATCTGGCCAGCACTGCAGTACAAGTGTGCTCAAGTTGAGCCTGAATCCTATTGCATCCAAGTGCTCTGAATCCCTAATTTTCTATAAATATGACAGTAATTTTATCTAAAACACAGTGAGTGCTCTGAATCCCAAACTCCCTATAAAAACTTTATTTTGCTTAGATATAGGTGACTGCAATACAAGGCCAGCAGTGATAAGAGAAGCCTCCATTCACACAGCAGATTGAATCAATTAGAAAAGAGCTCCCTACCTCTGACTGCAGGTGATCACCCAACATGTTGGTTTCTTCTTCCTTCCGTTCCTGCTTTTTCCATTCGTGCTCTTCTGGGACTTGGTCCTGTTCCTCCTCCAGGTGCTCAGGCTGCCCTGCCTGCTCCATTTCTTCCTCTTCGAGTTCCTTTTTGCGTTCTTCTTCCATCTGCTCTGCCCGTTGCTCCTCATCCTCTCCAGCTTCTTGCTGCTGCTGGATGTTCAGCTCCTTGGCATCCTCATGAGCCCTTCCCTGCACATGGAAAGGCTCAGCCCTGTCCTGTTCCTGGCTATTTGTTTCTTCTCTCTCCCTTGGCTTCTCATTCTGCAAAACAGACACAGGATTATGTGTGTACAACACATTTATGGGTTTCAGTTTCGACAGAGCCAAGGACAGACTTGGATCCTTTATGCCAGCCTGGAGCTGTTGTCAGGAGGGCCAAATGCCTGGTTTGGAATGAGCTCCTCCTGCCAAATGGGGTCATTACCTGGTTTGTGGCTGCACAGCTACACAAGGTGTTGTACAGCTCCACCATTGAGTAACTTAAGCCTCATTTTAGCTGAAGTGGAATAAAAACTCTTACAATTCTACAAAGCCAGCTTTGTGTTTTAGAGACACAGTTTAGTGCTGGCTTTGGCAGACCTGGGTTCACAGCTGGACTCAAAGATCTTAAAGTTCCTTTCCACCCTAACTGATTCCATGATTTTTATTTCTTGTCAGTTCTGCTGGCCAAAAATTCTTATAAAGCAAAATCACAACGGGTTTAACTTCTAGATTACACGTTTTCTGCTTGGACCTTGATGTGCCAATTTTAAATCCACTGACTTCAATGTGCCACTGGAACTTTATAAAAGAAAAATTTCTTCAGAACTTCTAAAAACTTTCTGTAACACTTGAGATAGCTAAAATTTTAGATTTCTTATTTTAAAAAATTATATTTTAAGCAACTTCTTAAAACAGCTGGCATAAATACAATTAAAACTGGCCTGGTCATGTGAGAAAAGATCATCGTGAATAGATTCTTACTCAACAATTAAACCACTCCTCAGCGTTTTCCTGCAGAACTGACAAAGGTGCACAGTCAAACACACACTCCTAAGAGACATTCAGCACGTTTTGCTGGATCAGAACCATTCCAGGGATGTCTGAAGCCTTTTACCTGCTCCTGCTGCTGCTGCTGCTGCTCAGCCCCAGCTCCGTGGTGCTCCGGGGTGTGGCTGTGGGGGGATGGGCCCCGCACCTCGGGCTGCTCATTCCCTCCTTCCACCTTCTCTGTATCTTGGAAACTTGGGATTTTCTTGAGTGTGTCCTTCAGCTGTTTGTATTCCTCCACCTGAGTCTAAAGCCAACACGTTAATTACAGTGTGTCCAGATTAATTTATTAAATGTAGTCACCTTGGAGTGAAGTTGCTGGCAAGGGCACGTGGTAGAAAACTTGATATTCCAGGGAAGGGAGCTTTTAAAATATAAATTTTTCCTCCAAACATTAGATGACACTGATCCATCAGGATCTTTTCAAAGTGCACATGCATACAAAGTGTATTAAAAACATCTCTGTGGGACAAAGAGGAGGAGTTGTTTTATTCATGCCAAGCAGAAGTGTCAGAAGGGGATGATGCAGCTTTCCTGGCAGACTGAAGCGAGGGAAGTCGAGAGCACCACAACTTCTCCTTTGCTGGTAGGAAGAAGTGCAGTTCTTTCAGAAGTAGAAGTTTTAAAGTACATCTACACGACGTGAAAATGCCAAGTCCTCAACATTTAGACAGGTGTTAGACAAGACAACAGCCAACATACGGAACTGAGGCAAAGAAAGTCACAGTGGTGAAGAGTAAGGGGAAAAACAGAAGGGAAAAAAAGAAAAGAAGTAGAAGGAAAATGTAAATTTCTAAAGGCTTCCTGAAATGCAACAGTAAAATGCTGGAATTTGATTTGCTGATTATCTTTGGACAGGATCAGGAAGCTTTAAAAGAAAATCCAGCAGGGTTGGTACCCCAATCCCTGGCTCTGCAGCAGCAGATTTCCAATTCAAGTGGATTTTTTGGGGTGGGCAGGGAGTATAAAAGCTGACCAGCTGCATACACAACAGGTGCCACACCTGAGAGTTTCCCTGCTGCTCTCCAGGGCAGGTGTGGGTGTGTTTAAGAACCTCCACAAGCCTATGGACCCCTAAAACAGAACAGCCTAAAGGGAAAGCAGAGTGCACAGTGATTACTTGTGGCAGTCCAGGGGGAAGCCTCTGCTCCCTGATTAACTGCTGGAGAGGACAAACCTCAGAGCAAAAAACTGGCAGAAAACAGAGTTTATTAAAATATATAATTAATCTGCCTGGCTGGGAAAAAGCACAAAGACTAAAATGCTTTAAAAATTCAGGTTAGTGCAGTATTGACTACTGGTGTTCAATGCCTAGAATACACCTAGAAATAGAGGGATCACTTATGGAGCTGGGAAAGAATCCCTTGGGGACTTTCTGCAGCTGGTTTGCAGGAGAAACTACACCTAAGTGTGAAATGCCCTCTGTTCTCAAGGTATGTGCAAGACCCTTCTCTGGAGGGTCCCCACAGGACAAATGGCACACCCTGCCTGCAGACAGAGAGCCTTTGTGTGACACAGGCTTCCTAATTAAAGAACTGAATCAAAGCCAGGAGTGTGGGGAGCTTCCCTTTGGGTTTGGTGAACCTTAAATCAGCCCCTCCACGTGGCCTTGTGGAATTTCAGATGTTATCAGCACATACCACACAGTCAACTGCAGCCAGTGGGAGAAGAGCTCAAAATTAGCTGCCAGTGTGGTTTAGTACTGCAGATTATGATTCTTCAGATATTCAGTCTATGAGGGACCTTCCTGATCTTATCCTATTTTTTGAATATCGACACATATTGACAGACACAACAAGCAGAACTGAGGAAAAAAATTAAAAAAAAGATTCATTGCTTTTCATGCTGCTAACGATTTTGTGGACTGTGAAAATGCCTAAATGAAGAGAATCAGTCAGGAATAAAAATAACTTCACACTGCCTCATTGCCTTTCCCTCTGATCTTTCACCAAAAGTCTTCCTCTGCTCCAACATCACTCCCACTTTCAGATTCCCCGTGGTCTCCACAGCTTGAACTGGCACAGCTGACTGAACCTGCAACAGTTTGTGCTTCATGGATAGTTCACTTGAAAATGGCATTTAAGAAACTTAATGCTGCTGCCTCTTCTAAGAAATAATTTGAGTTCCACCTGGAGTTTACATGCCTCCAAACACATCTCCATCTTTGTTCTGCTGCTGCTGCACTGATCTGTATTGCCCAGAGCAGCTGTGACTGCCCCAGGACCCCTGCAAGTGTCCAGGGCCACGCTGGATGGGGCTTGGAGCAGCCTGGGACAGTGGAAGGTGTCCCTAACCACGGCAGGGGGTGGCACTGGATGAGCTTTTTCCAAACCACTCTGGGATTCCATGAAATCCTCACCACCTTTCCAGTCACACACAAGAAGAGGTTTTAGACCAGCATCCAGGTCTAAGAGATAAATGTGAAGGTCAGAGTGCAGGATGCTCACAGCAGTTCCATCAGAGAGGACAGAGACAGAAAGGCACTGGCAGCTCCCAGGGAAGCAGAGTCATTTCCCAGAACACATGCACTGCTGGGCTGGCCCCCAGCCTGCTCTGCTCCCTGAGCCCCGGGAGCTGCTGCTGCAGCCTCTCAGGAGCAGCCCCTCCGTGCCATGCACTTGTGGCACCCCCATGCCAAAGGCACATGCAGCACCCTGCAGCCAGCCGGGCCACGAGAGATTGGGGAGACAGAGATTTGGGGAGCTGAGAGCCGGCAGGAGCTGCCTTCCTTCTGACCTGAGCAGCAGCTAGTGCACTCTTGTGGTCTTCCAATGTCACCACAAGCTCGTTGTGCTGGGACAGTAAGTCCTTATGCTGTTGCTACACAAAAAAGAAGAACACCACATGTTTCACATAAAGTTCATTCTAAAGATCAGTTAGGGAGGCTGGGGGTGTTTGAACTAGGAAGATAATTCAATTTATTTTGAAAAGGAAATCCTTAGCTGGAATGACAGCACTTATTTATTTCACATGGAATGCATATTAAACAGGCAGAGGAAGCAAGCACACCAGGGAAGGCAATTTGGAGGCCAGGATTTGTGTAACCAAAATAAAATTAAAAGTAGGAGTAGATGCTGATGAACATTTTAAAAAAAACAGAGCTGGAAATCATCAGGCACTGAGTTTTGCCAAAACCCAATTTTAAACTTGTAAAACCAAATTCTGATTTCTATTCTAAATACTTTTTTTTTTTTTAATAGGCATATACCTGAAGTGCAGGTGGCCAGAGACAAATTCCAGTTTAGTCTATTCTTCTCCTTTTTCCCACATAACAGAAACTACTAGTTTACAGCACTGCTTGCTTTGGGCTTGGGAAAACTTGGGAAAATTCTTTCCTAATGATCTTGAAAGTTCTCCTCAGAGCAAAGCCTACCTTGACATCCTGGAGCTGGGTGTGAATGTCCTGGTGAGCTTTTCTCAGCTGCCTGTTCTCCTCCCGCAAGTTATACAGGGATTCTGTTGCAAAGAAATGAGAAGAAATACAGAGTTTAAACCTGGCTGGATTTGTAATACCAGGCTAAGCACCAAAATTAAAATTATAACACAATCTACATAAAATCCCACAGGAGTGCTATAGTAAAAATTAGGTAGAATAATTGTAAGGTTTGTTTTTCTTACCTTTCTCCCCCCCCCCCCCATTAAAAGCTTCCCATTTTCAAGCAGAAAATAATAACATTTGGTGAAATTTTCTATCAGTGCACCCAACCTGCACCTGGAATTCTGCATCACTGCTCCTGCTGAGTGCTGCAGATGGCAAAATTCCCTATGGCAATCTGAATCCTGGAAAGGCAGAGAGGAAGGCACCCTCCTCTCTTTCCCCACATCACATCTGATGAGTGAGAATTTTCTGTCACAGGACCCAGCTATTGCTTTGGAAAGGATGCCCAGATGGCTCAAAAAGCTTCTGGGACCAGGGACAGAGGCTTCTATTCCCACTTTCCACATGATATTGATGTGGAGCTAAGAAACAACCTCTGCCTGCAGTACACACAAAGCTGCAAACAGCTCCAGAACCAACCCCTGTGCTAGGGACAGGTGGCAGAGAAGGCTCTGATGGACACAGCCCCATCCTTTTGCTCTTGGAACTGTGTAATGAAGATGGAAGAGGCCTGAAAACTGCCCAGGATCTCAAACAGGAAACTGGATGCAAAGAGTAAAAACTGAATTCATCACCTAAGTGTACAGGTGCAACGTGCTCCAGAGGAGCTGGTACAGAGAGGGAAAAAGGAGGTATAAAATGTAAATAAAGCCACTTCAGAAAGAGGCACAATTACATCTCTGCTAGCAGTGGCAAATATTCTTAGATTGCCTTTCAGTTACAAAAAAGAAGAGGCAAACCTTTTATTTTTCCAGGGTTATATCAGTCTTAGAATTAAAAATTAAAGACTGATTCAACAACCTCTGACACTCAACAGGCTTTTAAGTGGATTTTTTGCTATTTCTGTAACCCAGACAGAAACACAGAGCACATATGACCAGATTTCAGAGAGAGGCCTCAGAAAATCATCAGTAAATGTAACTTGTCCGAAGATGCATGAAGGACCTGTGAGTGAGAACAGAGGAAATGCCTCTCTCACACCACACAAAACACAATGCCAAACACCCAGTTTAATGTGGGCAGCCAGACAGAGGTTAAATTTACCCTTCAGCTTGGAGATCTCCTGCTCCTTTTCCTGCTGCAGCTGTAGGTATCTCTCCTTGTGATCACTGAATGTCCTGCTAAACTCTTCTCCCTGTTTTCGGTGATCTTCCTCAAGGTCAGCGTGCTGCTTCTTCAGCTCCTCGTGTTGACTCTGCAAATACCAAGTTGGGACACTGGAACAGCTCTGTATCTGCAGATCTGGCTAATATTGTCTTTGGCAATTTTGTTTGATGAATAGGAAGCATTCATAACAGGAAGGTTATTATTCAAAGCATGCACATTGCAGCTCCTTCCAAGCACAAAATGATCTCTGTGATGAGCAGGCTCCTGTTCCAGGGCTGTGTCACCTCACCCCAGAGCTGCACTGTCCCCTGGGAGCTGCTGAATGTGCCTCAGAAAATCCCTACGTGCCAAACTACATGGGGGCTGATAAGTCAGCATTCCCTACAATTAATTGCATCTGATAAGATTAAATTACCCACTAGAAACCCTGACTAGGAAAAACTGCAGAAAACCATATTTTAAAAGTCAGAGGAAGGCACTGTCCACCCCCTGACACCCTGCAGTGATGGCAGCAGCCAGCCAGGCCATGTGTCCCCAGTGCTCTGCTGTCCCAGTCACCCACCTTCAGCATCTGGTGCTGCACGCTCAGAGCGCTGTATCTGCTGTTGGAGTCTTGCTGGAAAACAAAAGCATTGGTGTGAAACCCCCTGACACTGCCCCGAGCCCTGCACAGCAATTTTGGGAGTCACAGCCAAGGGATGCAGCTCCCCAGGACACAAACCCAGCTGTCCCCTGGCTCTGGAGCACAGCAAGCTCCCACACTCTGCACCTACTGCAGCAACAACTGATTTTAACTCCTGCTCCTCAGCTCCCAAACTGCTCCCCAGTTTCAACATAAAATAGCCATAAAATCCTAATTTACTTGCTTTATAAAGAGTTCTCTACAGGTCTCTGGGTCCTCTGCCAGATAGAGCTTTCCTTCTGGCACTTGGTATATAAAACAAAGTTTCTTGATGTTTTTATGCTTTCCAGTTCAAAGCCCATGTGTTAGCTGTCACTGTTCTTTTCCCTGGGGGCTAAGCTACAAAAAGATTTCTAACACCTTCTTTTTCTACTTTCCCCTTAAATAAAACAACATTACATTTGAACTACCATAATATAAACAGGGGATTATTTTCTAAATTAATTTTCTGGAGAGGTATTAGCATCTCCCACTATAGCTCAAATAATTAGGAATTGGAGAGCACTTATGAATGCAGAGTAGAACTGGGATAAGTGAGAGCTCTTTCAATTAGTATTTTGCAAGATCTCTTCCTTTGAACAGTCATAATTGCAAAGTATTTCCTTTTCCTTGCAACTCAAATAGCATCAGCTATTAAAAACTTGTACTAGGAATGATGACTTACCCTTCCTTTATTTAGTGTTTCCTGTGCTTCTAGTTTATAAACAAGAAAATCTGCAACATAAAAGGGAAAGTACTGATGAAAAAAAAACCATCAGGAAGATGAGAATCTGTGCTTGAATAACTTGACTGTTGAATACACAAATTCTCTTTAAGAGCTGAACATTCATGCAAGAAAGCATTTTCAAAGGATCTTAAAAAAAAAAAAAAGAAAGGAAAACAATCTATGGAGAATTGGACAAAATGTGCAAATTTTAAAATGCACAAACTTTAAAAAGTTTCATAAAATATTTTCACTTAAAGGTTTCACACTACAGTGAGAGATGCAGAGTTCAGGCTCAAATCTACAGATGGGTAATTAAATCTGATAAATGAACTCTCTCAGCAGGAGCCCAAGAGCATCATTCAAAAGGAAAGGGGCGTTTATAAATCGTGTAAATAATAAAACATTTCCTCGTTTATTTCTCAACCTCTCTTTGCAGGGTTTGAAAAGGTGTCTCCCCCTCGGGTAGCAGCAGGACCATTCTACACTAGATGGCACCAGAAACCCACTGAGACCTGCACGGGGAGAATCATTTCAGCTTGTCAGCTTTGCTAAAGGCATATTTTAACTCAGCAGCTGACTCCTCAGTTTAAGAAAGAACAGAGGCTCTACCCTGAAAATTGCAGAGAATTTAGAGGCTGAGGAAAGTCAGAGGATTGAATCCTGCTGAACTTCCTCAGAGGGCACACAGAGGTGTAAGAAATACAATTAGTGTTTGCCTCACACACACACCTAGAATTTAGTTTTAATCAAGAAAAGGTGTATAAGCACGTGCTCACCCTACAGCACATGTAAAAGTACTGATTTCCAAGTTTAATTTCCAGTTGATGGAATGCAGGAAAAGATGCCATGGTTTTGGTACAAGTTTTGAATTTTTGGCATGCCAGGACAGGATTTAAAGTGCCCATACCCCACATACATGTTGGGTTTGTTACATACCTGGATATAAGCATATTCTCTGTGTATATTACTTCATATTGCAGTCATCTAAATAGTGTTAAAAAGATGATTGCTTTTAAAAACATCTGATTAAAAAAGATTAAATAGAAAAGAACTACTAGAAAGAGCAGCACAGCTCTACCAGGTGGATTCTAATATATTCCTAATATATATTGCTTATATATTACCCACGTCATTTAAAATTGAAGAATAACCACTTGAAATTACTCTCTATTCTAATCAAGTTAAATGTCAAAGTGAAAAGTACATTTTTACCTTCTTTTGCTTTCTTATGTTCTAGCCTTTCCTTCTGCAATGACTTTTCTAATCTTGACCGGTGCTCATACACAACTGAAAAAGGAAAATTTTGTACACAACTCATTTACAAAGTAACATACACAGACCTCACCATCCACCCCAACACACCCAGGGAATGTTGGCACAGAATGCACCAGGAAAATACAAGTGGAATGAGGTCATGGGATAAAGGGCTGTTTGTAACTCTTGTGGCAGTAACTTTTTCCCTTTTTGCATCCTTTATGGATCCCAAATCCTGGCTTGTTTGCATTGCCAAACACAGAATGTGATAACCAGGTGAGGGAATGGTTTGTGGAGGCAGAAAGCTGCGGTGGAGCTACCAAACCCTCTTTGCTTCTCAGGAATGCAGGGACGTTTTCCACGTTTCCACCCTCCCCTGCCTTGTTTGCACAGAGACAAGGAAATAAGAGAGGACAGCCCTGCTGCCAGAGAATTCCTGGCAGCACACGAAGTGTGCCAGGGAGGGAAGGGAGATGCCCGAGGGCAGGACAGCTCAGGGAGGTGCAGCAGGGCACTGCTGCTCCAGCTGGGCAACAGAGAACCTGGGAACACCCTAAATTCTTCCAGGAACTGGGAACACAGGATTCCTCTGCACTGTCTCCCAGCAAAAAATGACTCCCAAACACTGTCCAAGCTGCCTATGATTGCTTTGCAGACACCATCCCAAAATGGGGTTTACATTTGTGACTTTGTTGTATCCAGGTGTGTACCCAGCCAGCCCCATTTGGCTGCCAGTAAAGCAGGATTTCATCCAGCCCGTGCTTTGGACATGGAGTTTGGGATGTGGCACATCAGTCCCTATTTACCCTTTCCTCACCTCTCATTATCTGAAACAGCCAAGTTAGCAGCTAAGATATCAATTAAAACTCATGGAAATGTACAATTATACGTGTTTAACCTCAGTTTAACACAAGTATCTTTCACTGTCCAAATTACAATTTGAATTCTTCTAATGAGTTACTAATTTTTATTAAAACAATGAGTGATTTTTCCATCAAAACCAGGAAAGTCATTTTCTGAGAATAAACCATTGGTGAATGCAAGCCTTCAACAAGAAGCATCAAATAAAGATTTGCATCTTGGCAGCCACAGAAAACTTCTCTTGCACCTTAAAACATGTTCTTAATTCCACCAAGGTGCATTCTGCAGCCTTATCTACAAGTGTTTATGTTTTAACTCTGAAGTTGGATTGCTAATCAATCCCTGGCTCCTATCTCCACTTTGCTATTTATCTGCTAAAGTCAAGGGCATCAGTCAAGATGAGCCAATGTATCAACACCCTCTGGAAGAAAACAAGCAGACAATGAATATTGAAAAAATCACCAGCAGGCTTGGAGAAGAGAAAAACAAAAGGCAACAATACACAGCACTACAGCAACGGTTTTATTCAGGCCCTGAAGGTGGTGAATGCTGAATTATTGTGCAAAAGGAACAGTGGTTGCAGCACAGCAGCTCAGGAGAGCAAAGAAAATCCATAATGGGCTTCCCCTCCCATGCAATCAGGGTGGAAAAGGGTTCCTGGCAAACACACCAAACCACAAATGCATTTGGAGGGAACATTTTCCATTCCACTTCTCCATCTGCAAGTGCACCTTCCACAGCTCCTCCCCGTGCTTTAACCAGCGTGGGGGGAACTCTGCACAGCAAACCCACCACAGGGGCAGGGGTAAAAGGGGCAGGGGGAGGCAGGATTTGGGGTTTAGGGACCTCTCAGACAATCCCTGCCAAGCTCCGGGTTTCACCCTGCACTTGCAGGGTCTGAACACGGCAGTGCATCCTCCCCTCCACCTGCTGAGTGCTAATCCTTGAAACACTGGGACAAAGCAGAAGTCCTAAAACAGCTCCTCAGTTTCTTTTTCCTCAGGAGGAAAAACCTCCTCCCTCACCTCTGCCCTTTGAGCCCAGTTTCTGCTTGGCCTACCATCTTTCTCTCTGATGAAAGTCCAGAAAGTGCAATGTACTGAAGGTGTTGATTAAAAATAATTATTAACAAAGCACAGCTCTTTGGGGAGTAGGTTGCAGGTCAGATTTTATAAATACATATTGGAGATTATCTCCCATAAATCTGAATTATTTCTACCAGTTAGGAATTTTAGGAAGAGCCCAGACAAAGGGCTTGTTACTACAGCAGGAATTTCTCCTTCTTCACTGCCAGCCTGCACATAAGATGTCTGAGCAAGAATCTGAAAGAAATAAACACACTGAAAAACAGGTTTTATAGAAAATCCACCCCAGTAGGGGGTGGAACCTATATAAGGAATCTGACAAAATCCCACTGCTGGGATGCACAAATCATTTTTCCTAGGGTAAGCTTTTAATTTTGCACTGATCTTTGCACAAAAAATTGAACTTTATTTCTACATTGTATTTAATAGAATGGTAAAAAAAGGGGAGAGGGGGAATGTTGCTATTTAATGGCTAATAGACATTATTCCAAAAGTGGAATTACTGCAGGTGTCAGCTTATTTCTTGAAATTACCTATAGAATGTAACCTACACAAATGAACAAAGACCCACAAACCCAGAGAGCCCAGAAACTCCACTGGTAACCTCACAGATGAATAAAGGACTTTTCACCTTCAACAAGGAAACACTGAAATCCCTGGAACTCCTCTCAATAAAATCAAGTCCTCAAGATTTTGCCCATAAAGAAAAAGAAGGGAGGTGTGAAATGCCCAGCGTGTTCCCACATTGCACCACTTCCACAGTGCTGAACGTTAATTACAACAGAGGAGTCAGGGAGGTGATGAAATGGAGATTATTTAACATTCAAGGTTCCTTCTCTTATCTTTGCCTCTCTAAGCAATAAAGCTATTATTAAACAAAATAAGCCATTATTGTACATTTACAAGAAAGCATTTCCTAGTTTACATTATCAGCAATTTCGTGCCTGTGTTACTTCAGCTATTTGGTCTGTCAGAAGGATGATCCAGTGCCCCAGCTCCCTGGAAAATTAAGATTACACTGGGATTTAAACATACATGATACAATAAATTTTTACTAATTTCAACATGACTGCTTTTTACACAATTCTGAAATCTTTCTCTGAGCTTACAGTAATACCTTTCATTTAAAACCAGCAGATTTCAGTAGTCTTGGCAACACTCAGTGTTGTTTTCCCTCACACTGTGGCAGAGTTGAAGTGAACCAGCAGCATGGGGTAAACCACACTGGCACCTCTCTAGTGACACTGTGAAGGTCTGCACAACACAAACTTCCTATAAAAATAGTTAATTCCCCATTCCTGTCCCTGCAAATAGAACCATTTAAAATGTGAAGCCATGGAAAAAGCTTTCCTGCTGAGAGTAAAGCACTTCCATGAGTCAAAGAGGAATCCCTTCAACATGGAGTGTAGGGTAAATTCTCTAATCCAACTACAATAATTAAAATTTTGACCTCAGATGACATTTCATGACTCCTCTGACACATTCCATGCTGGGAGGAGATATTATTATTGTAACAAGACCTGCTCCCCAAGCTTCCAGCCCTGTATTTAAACCAGTGAATCTGCTTTCAAACAAGATCCACTGATTTCACTACTGATAATCTTATCAGCAACAGATTATCAAACTGCAGCAGCAGGATTCCCCACCATGGTACAAACCATGCTGGCCTCAGCATCACAGTGTGAGCTCCATCTATTTCAGACACCCAACTGAGGGTTTAGCAATAAATGGATATTCCAGTGACACTGCAAATATCTTGGAAAAAATGGAAGTATTCTCACAATAAAGACTAGGAAATCTCTGTTTTAAGTACAGAGCAAGAAAACAACATTACAAAAAACATCTACTTATCACAGAGTGGTTTGGCTTGGAAAAGACCTTAAAGCTCAGCTTGTTTCACCCCTCTGCCACGGGCAGGGACACCTTCACTTCCACTAGAGCAGGTTGCCCCAAACCACAATATTTACAATATATTGAACAAAATATCGAAGCCATTTAATAATTTATGTCCTTGAAGTTTTCTGGTTTGAATTTCCACAAAAAGGGCAGAAATAGAAGCCAAGGTCAGGTGAAACTGATTGTGTGTGAGGCTTCACTGTGGAACATCCAGGCAGGGATGGACTGCTCTCATTCTGCTCTCTGCAAAGCACAGCTGGCACTGTGTGGACTATGAGAATTACTTTTACTTCCAAACAAACTCCTACACTTTGCAGTTTACTCACATGATCAAGTAATGGTTTTGTCTAATTACAACCAGTCATGTCAAATCCTCCTGGAAAACCACACCATGCATTGGCAGTTGTGCTTAAAAATGATCACTGCTTTGACTGAATTCCTTAATCATTTATTTTGCTCAGAGTAGAAATAATTTGAAAAGTTTGTATTTAATATCTGGATCTTTACATTCAGGTGGGGTTTTTTTTTAAGAGACCACATAATGTGCTTTCAGAGATCCTGCAACAAAAATGAGCTATCAATTAAAATAAACCTGTTCCTCTGAATTACTCAGTATTCCAGGAAGAAGTTCAAACTAAAAAGTTCCAGTAAGCAGTTCTAGTTTTGCCTTCACTGCAGTTCTGAAAAATGAGAAATTCTGGAGAATTTGGCACATTAATGCACTTTACCCCAGAAACACACACTTGTATTTCTAAGAGATCACTGTGGCCTCTATTCAATTTTAAGGATGACAGGAAAATTAATTTCTAAACTGGAGCAAACATCTACATTTAATAGAATCCTTTTACTGCACCCAGTCTCACATTCTGCCTTTCTCAGAAGTTAATAACACCTCCAGGAAACAACAGATTTAAGATAAGTTGGGACAGAAGGAAGGATTTATCATGTTCCAGGAGTAAACTATAATAGCTGCTGCTAAATATAAGTTGGAGAAGGGGTATTAAATGTGATTAAATATTTAATCCCTCACAGATAGAATTCAGAGCTGACTTTTATCAGGAAGGAGATCATGTTTTCCAGAAATGATTTCCAGTACTCCACAAAAGGTTTCTTCCAAACCTTAGTACCATGGGTGGGATCAGCATCCCACCTGGCATTGCTGTTTTCTATACACCAGTAGATGATAAAGAG